GTCGCGTGGAAGGGGCAAGGGAAGCATGAAGGTATCGCTGTACGGAACCTCTCAGATGTTCATCGCTGATGGAGGGATGGTGGAGGCTGTGGGAGAGGCTGAGGGAGCCAGGGTACGGAAGCGGTCCATCTGAAAACGGGAAAGGGAATCAGCGATAGAATTGTCTAAGCCCGGGATGTGAGTAGCTGTGAATGCAAAGTTATATTGGAGCGTTTGAAGTGTGATTGCTCGGATAAGGTCCATTACCCGGGGGGACTTGGAGTGTTTAGAGTTTATGCTAGCCACCACTGACTTGTTGTCACACCACATGCGGATTCTTTTGCCGGACCAGCGGGGCCCCCATAAAATACAGGCCAAGTATATGGGAAATAGCTCCTGCCATTCAATACTAATACCCCTTTTTGGGCTGAGGGTGTGGTGGGGCAGCCAGTGGCCCTGGAACCATTCCCCTGCTAAGAAACCCCCATACCCAAGGGAACCAGAAGCATCAGTGTATAGCTGAAGCTCCGGCGGAGAGGTGGCCTGGGTATCTAAAAAGAGAGACACCCCATTCCAATTTTGGAGAAAATGCAGCCACATAGAAATGTCCTTACGGAAACCGGAATTAAGGCGAATATGCCAATGGGGGAACTTGATACCCTTTGTAAGGTGGATAATGCGTTGCAAGAAGGGGCGGCCAGGGACAATAACCTTACAAGCAAATTGAAGGGTGCCAATCAGAGACTGAAGCTCCTGTAGGGTAGCAGATTTCCTAGTAGTCCACTGACCAAGGGCTTCCTGAATGCGGGTGAGTTTATCCACCGGGAGACGGGCTTCCATTTTATTGGAATCTAGTTGGATACCCATAAATTCAAGGCATGTGCATGCAGGGAAGGTTTTCCCAGGAGCTATGGGGATATTTAGATCTGTAAAAAGGTGCAAAATTTGGCATAGAGCAGTCATGCATTTTGATCTGGGAGGGGAGGTAGCAAAAAAGAAATCATCTAGTATATGGATAACCTTTGGGATATTCAGTTTAGTTTGAATGATCCATTCCACTGCAGAAGAGAATTCATCAAAAAGGAAGGGGGCCGACCTGAGACCGAAGGGGAGGACCATATCGAAGAAATAGAGCCCTTCCCATTTCATACCCAGAAGTTCCCAATCAGAGGGGTGGACGGGAACATTGCGAAATGCTGATTTTATGTCTAGTTTGGACATGAAGCAGCCTGGACCGAGATCCTGAAGAATGGCAATTGCGTGGTCCACCTTTATGTATTGCAAAGAATAGGATTCGGGAGGAATGTGGGCATTGACACTGGTGGGGCGGTGTTTGGGGTAGGAGAGATGGAAAATGGTACGCCATTCCGAAGAGTGTTTCTTGGGAATGACCCCAATGGGGTATACCTGCAGGTTGGAGAAGGGAGGGATGTGAAAAGGCCCTGCTGTGTGGCCCACGGTAACCTCTTTTAGCATGTTTTTGTCAATAATAGATGGGTTGATATTTGCACAGGGAAGGTTAGAATATTCCTTGGGGGCCCTTGGACCTGAATAGCCGATCTTAAAGCCCTGAGAAAACCCTGTGAGAAGATGATTAACTGTTGTGTGATCTGGATGGCCCTGAAGGTAGGATGCAAATTTGTTGATGTCAATGGGGGTGGGAGGGGTCAGTTGGGAGAGGTAATTAGGAGTGTCCTCGGGAGGAATTGCCAGAGCTTGAAGACAATTTAGGTCTGTCCTCTCTGTGGCGGGTGAGTTTGGTGTGATCTTCCCCAGAGTGAGCTGCTGAGCATCCCGGCTGGTTACACCTGTGTTGGTAAGGGCATGGGGTGCGAGCACAGGGCCGGCCTTTGTTAAAGTTGTAGCACAGGTCGGATTGGGTAAGGGCATCCCGGGACCTACGGGGAGATAAAGGGCAGGTATCAGAAAGATGATCAGTGCTGCCGCAAGATCGGCATCCCGCTTTGGGGAGGCCTGTGAAGGTATCGAGGTAGAGCTGGACGTCCCGTTCCCCCCACTTGGCAGAAAGGTTATGGGAGGCACGCCTTCGAAATTCCACATCATAGACATACCAAGCCATCCCAGGGAATTTTCGTGCCGCATCGCGAATCAACTGTTGATAGGCTATTAAATCCGCGGCACGAGAGGGATATACCGACACTATAACGGCGAAATATATGGCAAAGGCATCGAGCCATCGATCGATGGAGGTGATTTTGGGGCGTTTAGAGGAGGAGGGAAGGGGAATAGTTAGACCCTGATCGCCTACCTTAAGGTTAAGATGGGAATGGATGGTGTCAGTGAGAAGGGAGGTTATTGGTAAAAGGGTAGCAAAGTCCACGTACTCACCGTTGGTGATGGCCGACGAGGTGGCTTTAGTGACATGGCTGGCGAGGGAAGGCTGTCGGAAGTTCGGGTGAAGCGACGCTACTTGGGCTGGATCGGAAAAGTCGACTGGAGAAGAGAGGGAACCAAGACCAGAAGAAGCGGCGAGACCAGAAGAGACGGCGGTGCTTGGGAGGAGATTACCTGTCGGAGGATTTTGAAGGGAAGGTTGTTGTTGTGTCGTGTTTTGGCCGCCATCTTGTGGCGGTGGAGGAGGACTGGACCTGAGGCTGTCCTGAAGGTTGCTCGGAGGACTGGGCCGAGTAAGTTGAGCACTGCTGGCACCGCCATCTTGAGTTAGTTGGCGGTTCATCCGCTCGTCCACTATGGAGGCGATTAAGGCAGCCAATTCCGCGTCTGGAACGCCGGTGGCGATACTGGAGTTGGACTGGGCGCCTGCTGATTGTGATGCGGGCGGTCTTTGCTGCTCGTTATGTTGTAGACGCGAGATAAGTTCGCGGCGGTTCCCGGTTTGCTGGAGGTGACGTTCTCCCAGCATGAGGCGAAGAGCTTCGGTGGACATGGCGCTGTAGTCTGTTGGTTCTGCTGGTACGTTGGCGCCATCCAATACGGCATTTCGACGGTTGATGTTCCTCCTTTGCCTTGGCATGATACACTAAGTTATGTAAGTCGATTTAAGCGAAGCGATTTGTGAGGAAGTAGACCAGGAAACAAGCTGTTGTCCATGAACCGAAGCTCTGAACGAACTGAATGGGAAAAGACAGTGTACGGCAAAAAGAGGAGCACACGTGCATGATAAGCATGTGATAATATGAATGGAACCTTTGTGGAGTCTAGGAATATATCATGCTACATTACAGTGGACTTTGCCAAAGAAGAAGGATACATTGTAATCAAACAACTACTTAGTGTTCATTGTTCTTTCTTGTACTTTGAACTAGTATCTACCATTACTGAGCACAAAAGCTTATACAAATGTTGCACGTTGTGTGACATAAGAACCAAGATATGATTGTTGCTAGTATGCCCTAAGTGTGCTTTCATTGGGCATCATTCTCAGGTTTATTAACAACAGTTTATGCTACCATAAACTTGAACATTACAAAGAACTGATTACTAAATTGTAAACAACAGTAATAACAAAAGGAAAGAAAAGGAGGAAAGTATTACATACTTACAATTATCTACATTTCACAATTATATTGTTTACATTACAGCCAAAAACAGCCGAGCAATTGCTGAAAGTGGCTTTATATTTTACAAAAAAGTTAATTAATACTGAATTATGTAGATGAAAAGAGAAATTAACTCTTATTTAGAGTACACTCTAAAATTTTACTTAAGGAGAAAAAAAAAACAATACCAAAAACCAAATACATAATAAAAGATTCTTGATTTTGATTACACACGAACTTAATTCAAGAGGAGAAAGGTCTTTAGGCCATTTGTCATAAAAGGTTTGTAATATATTGTTCTCGGTGGAAATATACTTTTCAACTTGGTATTTAATTCTTACTTTAAATTGGAAACCTTCCATGTTTGGAAGTACCTTGTTCTTTCTGCTATCCCATAAAACAAAACATGCCAAAATTAACTACACGGGTTACTTTGTAGTAACAATAGGGTTGCGTTGGTGCTGGAGCAGAACACAGCCAATAAAAAGTTAAAACGGAGCTTGAGCAAAAAAGACGTTAGCTTCAAACGTTTTGAGCGCAAATTAAAACCCATCGTTATTTGCTCTAAAACTCTTCGAGAGGGCCAAAACATGAATTTTATCAACTCAGTTGATAAAAATATGTTTTAATTTCTTACTTTCAGCCTTGTACTCAGTCGTTTATCTGTTTAATTTTAAATTTGAAGCGCGTCACTTGAGGAGTTGTGGGAAGGAAATTGAGAAACTATCGGTCTTACGGTTGTAGGTTCTGTCGTCCCGTTCAACGAATGTTCGCAACTTTCGTGGTCAATCTTTTCTTCCTTTAAAAACCAAAGCCCGCGCCACACATTCACAAAGAGTTCAATGAAACCTTCTAAAAACTGAAAGCTTGAACCGGCAGCTATCATGTTCTTAAAAATATAGGTTAGATTTCTATTTTGTAAATATGAAATTCCTATTTTGCACGGATGAGAAGCAAAATAAAAGGCTGCTTTTATGCTGTATGATGAGTAAATTCATCCCACGTAAGGGAACCCAGGACCGTCTTGGATTCTGGACTCCACACTGTGGATTTCGGATTTCAGGTACTGAATTCCAGTATTTGTATAAAAAGAACTTGGATTCTGGGGCCTGTTTCTCGAAAGGCCCGGAAACTTTTCGGGCTCGAAGGCAAATTTTAAAGTCAAAATCTGTTGAATAGTACCACAGTTCCTAGCTCACAAACCGATCAATATTGCTTCGTTAAGTGATAGCTTCCATGTATCATTTTCAGAATTATTCACACTTTAAACTGAATGCAAACACGCCTGCAGCTTTCCAGGCCCGAAAAGTTTCCAGGCCTTTCGAGAAACGGGGCCCTGGATTCCATAGTGGGATTCCAAATTCCTTGAGCTGGATTCTGGAGTCCAAAACCCGGGATTCCGGATTCCGTAAGAAAAAGTTTCCCGAATTGCGGAATCCAGATTCTCTTACATGGGCGAAGGAAACTTATGGAAAAATAGTCACTTATTGATCTCGTTAGTTACTCAGACACGTCATGTTCTCCCAAGTTTATAAAATCTTCTGAATTGTCATTTTTAACTTCTACACTTGCTGTAAAATATAATTGATGGGTGAATTTCGACGCATATTTCGTAATGGATGTTAGAAAATAAAATGACCTGGGTAGCAATTCAACATTTATTGGAAGGGTTCTAGAAAAAAGCCTCTCAGTTCCTCCACCATCCAGTTTAAATTTGTAAGTGCGATCGTAGCATACGTTTGCTACTTCCAACGCTAAAGAGGTTGATCCGTGATCCCTTCTCAGAAACAAAAGACATCCTGAGTGGAGGTATTTTACAACGGTCTCCGAACCAAACATTTTACTCGGAACCCCATCGCTGACTGATTCAGCAAGATTAGTTTGATCAATAGCGCATGCGCAAAGTCTAACGTCAACTGACTTGTCTGCGCATGTCTTAAACTTGCTATATCTGGACTGGCGAGTATAACTTGTCAACCAAACTTTGTCTTCTGGCTTTGCGTAGTTTTTCAAAGAAACTTTAAAGACTTCGTCTTCTGTAAAACCAGCTGGAGGAACCACGTGGAGATCCATTGTCGTCAAGATGTAGTCTCCTTGGAAACGTTGCAAAATATTAGTAAATGATTTCCCCACCAAGCGCTGACAGTTTCCATAGCCATACCTTTGGGATGAGGTTACAACTTCACCAGCACCTGTAAAAAACGAACGGAAACAACTCGTTAAACAGTCAATAGGGAGTTTTAAGAAAGACGTTTTTGAGCGACACGCGTCAACTGGAAGTGTACTTTTTGCAAACTTCTTCCTAAATTTTTGGGTAAGTCGTCTTTATAACAACAAAGACGCTAAGCATTACGAATTTGGCAGCTTCAAGATATATTAAAGGGGAAAACGCCTCACATCCGGTTGACGTGTGTCACTCAAAATTCAAAACCGCCTTTGCTAAACTCCCTAACATTTGGAAGTAGGCACGTTCGCAGGTTACTACCGTTTTAGACCAGCTCATGGTGTCTTTTACGAACACTGAAAGTAGAGAATGTTTACAATTTGCTCGCCCCGGTGTAGAGATCGTTTTCTTTGAGCTTCAAAACAATTTGGTGATTTCTATGAGTTAAGTGAATAACCTCGGGCCGCTATCTAAACCAATAAGAGGCTGTAACGTCAATTTTTTTTCACAGCGTAACATGATGTGCCAGTCCATCACACTTTTAGTATATTTCTTTGGCCTCCTCCGCCCAACTTGGAAATGAAATTTGTCAGTTCGACGGTTCAATAACGGACGTGATTACATCACAACGAATTTTTCTTTCCCTTTTTATACTTGAATGCACACCCCTGTCACATGAGACAGAATAATGACGAGTTTAAAGAATGGAAATTTACTTTTTAGTGACGTTACCCTGGCCTCGTCGTGGTAGTTGCTTATTAAATAAGCACACAATTACATGTACCTCCTAAATGTTGTGTCTGTATGGCATCATTTAAGGTCCCGAGTGCAAACTCCGCTAGCCATTTGTGGTTTTTTGAGTTGTCTTCTGCCCGACTATAATCGTCGAACCCTTCACACTTGCACCTGGTCAGCGGCATCAACTGCAAATCTGCACATGTGCGGTTTGCTGGTAAAACAGAAAATATTCCTACTGCAGTGGAATTCTGGGAGCTCATTAGTTCAGGATGGTTTAAAGACACAAGTGCTCTATGTAGGTCCAGCAACGTAAATAGACGCTTTTGGTTTTCAACCAGGGCCGTCATTCGCTGATGGCCGAGCTTTTCAGCCACTTGGTCTGGAATTATCATAAACAGGAACGGATCAAAAATCTCTCTTCTCCCTTCGTCAGTATAGCTATACTGGGTATTCTTGTTGCCATGGTCGGAAAATATCACAGTAAGAGTGTCCGGACTCTGAACTATATTCACAAAGAACTTTGCCAAGTTGGCATCCATGTTGATCATTCGTACCCCAGTATGCTCGTGTCCAGTGTTAAAGTGTATAAAAGACAGCATCGATTTGGCCTTTTCGTCTTTGTTCATGGCAGCGTAAACTTTCGTTATGTAATCCAGGAAATACTGACTGTAAAACTCCCCGTTTAGACAAATCTGAGGTGGAGTCTCGTAAGGGTTTGTCATGCTGTATTTTTTATATACTGTGCAGGAAAAGTGTGTCAGGCCAAAGCCGTCAATATGTTTTGTACTCACTCGATTTTGGAATTCACTCCATCTGCAACAGAATACATTTTTTCTCATAGTAGCACCTTTAACGTAGGCATTAAAAAAGACACTTTAAAACTTCGTTATAAAAGTGACGTTTTCTTCAAATCGCATTTTTTTTCGTAAACTAAAAATTCTCTAAGTAGTGTGTACTTTCAGATAACAGAAGAACATGTTTTAGGTTATGCGCACTTTGACTGTGCACTAAATGCAATTTTTCCCATAGTAGCACCCAAATAATCGTATGGACTGAAACGGCTATCGGAGAAGTCGGAACTGACTTTGGCAATCTAAGAAAAAACACAAACAAGCAAACAACTAACTATACAGTCAAATCTCGCTTTATGGACACCCTCTTAATACAAACACCCCGTTAATAAGGAAAATTTTTATGGCCCCTTCAGTGTACGTGTGACTAAGTTTGACTCAAGTTTTAACTTTGCAGTGGTGGCCGGAAGTAAAATAGCTCATAAACGACGCAGTGCGCATGACCTCTCGCCGTAGCGACAAATCGTACACGGTGAAGACCAGTCTTGTGGCGTAGTCGCTACTACGTGAGTATAAAATTCGAGTTTTCTCCTATTTTAACTATCGCTGGTTTGAAAACCTATCATGCATAGATTTTTTTTTCACTTTATCAAGAAAGTATTTGACGCCCAGTCTGGTTTTCCGGTAATTACGTCTTCCCTGCGTTTTACTGACAGCGAAAGTGAATGTGCGAAAATCCTGTAGTCACTGTTTGGGTGCCGCTTGCTTAAAGATGGCTGACTACCGTGGTGTCTCTTGAAGATACTCTCCCCACGACTCCGTATCCACGAGGCCGCCGTAATAGAGGTCGCCGTAGCGATTTGCTTAACGTCCCTAATATAAAGAAAGGTACCGTTTCCTTTGTAATTGAACTAAATGCTACGGCCCCATTATTTTTCCAGGTATTTCATAATATTGGTACCTTTCTCTCTAAACTTATGGTCAGGAGTATAACGAAGGTACCTGTCTTTAAATTCAGAATCTCCATCAGGCCTTGCTCTTACTTGAAGGTCCGTCAATCCAATACCCCAGTAGTCGTACCAACAAAGATCTTCTTGGAAGAGAGTCTGGTAGCCCCATTTACTGAAGGCCCCAAACAACACTTCTACCCCCAGAGGGTCCTTTGCGGTCTTTGCTCGGTCACTGATTTCATCGTCATCTATAGAAAAAGAAAAAAACAGTGTAGAATTAAATCTGAATGGAGCTAAAAGGTCATGATATGCAATTTACTTTCCCACGAAACAACTAGGAGCTTGTAAGGACCCGTTTAAGAAGTTTCCGCACCTTGCACATCCGAAAGACACTTTGCATCTCGGGATCAAACTTAATTGCAAAAGGCCAATTGGAATGGGGAAGTGTGTGATTTTCAGGAAAAAAGGTGGAAATCCCGTGTATCCGAAGAAAAACTAAAGCCAACAAAAAGTGCAATTTCATGTTTTTAAGGTTATTTGTACTACGCACAACAAGCTTGCGATTAAATGAACTGATGAAACAAGAAGTATTAACAGCAGCTCCCAGGGACGAACGCCAAAGCCCCCAAATTTATCGCGGTTTATAGGGTCAATGACCTCGTAGGGACCCCGCCTAGTCCCTAGGCCTCATTATTACCCGTGCAGCCTATGCTTTCCGGGTCACGTGGTCCGATCGAGTGTTCGTCTCGGATACGACTTCGAAATGCGTTGCCCGAATAGGCCTGGAAAGAAGCCGTACAGGGACTAGGCAGGTCGGGAGCTTGGGTTCGTTCGTTTGCACACGCTGTTGTTTTTTATAGTAAATAAACAAATGAATTACACTTTTTACAGATGGCTCAGCCTGGACATCTAACAACAATGAAAAACTACATAGAAAATTTACTGATAATAACTGACATTCCAACACCCTTCCCTCCTTGGCCTTGCCTTCAACATCGCTAAATAAGGCCAGCCAGCAGGAAGCTTTAACCCAACGACGAAGGCGACGGCAGCGACAACGGCCGTTCACATTCCATTTGAATTGTAAAGATCATCCCTGGGGATTAATTAATGACATGCAAATGAGTATATCTAATAGGAAACACTGTCACGCATTGTCCCATTCACTTCACTTTGTCCAACACTAAGGACGTATAGCCACCCACCTTCCCTCCCCAGCGAGTAAATCGGGTTCCAGATTACCTGTATTCAATTCAGTCTGTCTTGGTCTTGTCCCAGGTCAGCTTGATTCCCCATACCTTATTATAATGTCATGAATAACAATACCCAGGGATGAATATTGTACTATTGAAAAGAATTCGCATTCTTTTAACTTTGTCGCAATTGTTACAACTCGTGATTGAAACTAGTAGGTCAGTGTGAATTTCTCTGGAGTCGAATTCTTGGATACCACATCCGAGATTGGAAAGGGAAAAAATCTTCGTCCATAAAACGTCGCATAAGGACCTAGTGGTCGTAAGGTTAAGGCAAAGTATTGTACCAAAAAGTGTGCTTCATGTTTAAAATTGTAATTTTTTGCTTTTTGACGTTCTCATTGCCGTCGCCATTGCCTAAGCTCCCTATCAGAGCTGACGCTTAGCACAAGAGGAGGATGATGCAAGGGTGCATCCTTTACGAGTAGAGTTCAAGTAGACGGTTAGGGTTCAAGGAATTATAACGTACAACCACGACTGGTGGAAGGGGGTGTGGAGGAGAAGTAATATACCACAAAAAAGTTCAACAATCCTTTCTCAACCAAAGTTTGGACCCCCGAATCAAAAATTCCTGGATCCGTTCCCGCATAACGTTTACCTTTGATAACACCAGAAAACAAAGGCCTCAGGTTGTCAAAACTATGTTGACCAACACTCTGAAACAACTCAAAATCCAACGCAGTCGCCTTGATATCGGGATCTTGTGAAATCGCGCGGAGTACCGCCACTGATCTTGGTAGAATTCGATAAAAATGCGGTCTCGCCACAGAGTCCAGCACAACGATGTTAACATTTATGTTGTTTCTCACGCTGTTATTTTCGACTTTCTTTAGGATCGGTTGGAAGATGAGCGACTGAAGAATATTCCCACACTTTATGTACAGAAAGCCAAAGCCGTTTTTTTGGTTTGTTTTTACGGCTTCTTGTACAGTTACAGTTATTGTATCCTTGGATGTAGGAATCCAGTCAGTGACTTTGCCCATTTTTGCATTTACAGAGCCTATGGTGACATTCGAGGACCCACAAACCTCAGCATTACATAACAATCTATGATTTCCAGACTTTGTTTTTTTAAACGAACATATGTCAGGGTGACGAGTTTCGTTACATTTACGGTGTTCAATGTGTCCTGGAAGTCCGTAATATTTATAGGCTTGTGCACATCCGACTCTGCTCGGTCTAGTAAAAAAGTGAAAATGAATACTATAAGGTGTAGTCAACTCTCTCTAAGAGGGACATCATTAGGACAGAAAATGTTGTGGCCATCTTAGGAAAAGTGTCCGCGCTTTGCAGAGCAAACAGAGTGGCTAAAGAACGGCAGGGACCAATTCTAAGTGTTCAACTAAGGGGCGTGCCTTACAAATATAGGAGTGTCCGTTGAGAGACAGTTGCCCGCATCTCAAACTCATGTAGTTTAAGGCCTGGGACTAAGGGGTTTCCCTTTGGGAAATGATTTCTTGGCTACAACTTCGGCGCAGATTAGGAAGCTGAATTAAAATTTGGCACACATAAAGAACTCACAGTCCTTAACATTTTAAAGTATAATTATTGTCTTAATAAGTCACGTGATATGTCACGTGACCATTATATCATGTGACCATTTTTGCTAAAAATCGTAAATAATTGAAATATTGGTAGCGGGTTTCAGGTAAGAAATCGAGCAATAACATTTTTCTTATTCATATTAAATATTTCTAACACTTTACGTTTGAAATGACCGTCCATTACACTTCAGTTGTAAGGTTAAATATCAGGAGTGATTTTTGAGCTTGAAAAAGGGCTGATTTCAGAGGTGTATGTGGTGAAATTTTCGCTTTATTCCAAGCTTGTGTTGGTAATTTCGACACTATACCGCCGTGGGAAGTTGTTGGAACACTTTATCTTGATAGTAGTTACGTTACTTTTAAATATTTTGTTTTCTTGAGCGTTTGTGACAAGTTTGAATCGCTCGGTCATGTGTAAGCCGCCATGATGATTTGAGAGTTATTTTCGCCGTTCTCCTTCGTTCATTGCTAGTTATTGTTAGCGGTTTTATCGGATTTTTTTGGTTATCTTGTTACTTCAACCTTTCTTCTTTGTAAATTTCGGGGTCTACCCGGGCCATCCCTTGTTAGTTTTCCTGTTAAGAAGTGTTGAGAGTACTTGGAATGAAGAGATCGCCTCAGCCAAGTAGCACAACTCCCGGGAAACGGGCTGAGAAAACATGCCGAAGTGGAAGCAGACGTGAAGTGAGTAACGCCAAATCCAAGAAGAGTTGATTCCATTTTAAAACAGAAAAGTTAAATAAGTTTGAATATTGTACTAAACTTTGGAAACAAAACGTTGTTCTCAACCCAGTGCGGAAAATTAAAGCGTGTCTTTAAAATAATTTGCATGCAGTGCGTGCTACATGTATGTGTACGCAAATCTTCATGTAAACTTACGTGAAGGGAATAAATTGTTATAAATCTCTATCAAAACACAAAAACATTATCAAAGATCTATACAACATCATACAGGATTTCAAAACTGTGAGGTTAGGCTTATAACAAAACCGATACACTGCGCTCACAAGATCGCGGTTCAAGCTATCATCTAAGGCCTTAGCTTCGGTGAAATTCCCATTGTGCTGTAGCTGTTCGGGACTTTCGGTCTGTTTTTCTCTTGCCTGATAGAAGATTTATTTGCGCATAAGGATTAAAAAAAAAAAACATTAATTCCAAACGTAGAAAGTTAGGTATGTTTGTCTTCTATCAGAAATGTCAATTTATTTATCCAAACAAAGTAAATTCGCCACCAATTCGCCGGCCAATTTCCTTTATTTTCAATTTTTGGTCACTTGACATATGACGTGACTATAATTAAACGTTCAGGCACTAGAAGACCTCAAGATTTACTTTTGGAGGAAATTTCATTTTGTTCTAGATCTCCTGGCGAGAGATATTGCCAGTAAATCATATGGCCGCACTCACCCTTGGCCCAGGCCTTAAACCCCTCAAATACAATGTTAGTTATGTAAGAAAATACATATCAAATGGGAGCAATTAATGACCTACCTATGATGATATATCTATCTGAAGTATTACATTAAGGGCGTGTTCGACTGACGGTACTCCGGAATAGACCTCTTTCATATTGGCGGCCGATTATTATATTCTTTATATGTTTGATAATCTGAGCCTTTCTGACCTCGATAGCATGTGCAAAATACATAGAGGATATTACACGGTGGCGCGAAGATATGAATTTTATTTTCGAGTGGCAAAACAATATTTTACGAACGAGCGCAGCGAGTGAGTAAAATATTGTTTTTGCCACGATCTTATATAGACAAAAAGACATCGCTAAAATAATAGAGGGGAATGACCGAAATTACGTCATCGATAAACTCACGCGTGAGATTATGGAAAATAAACCACTCGGGTCCCGGATGTAGTTTTTATGAATTTTACGAGTGGTATATTTTCCAGTAAAACACTCGTGTCTATATAATAAAAAGAATTCTTTCTTTCAAACGAGGTCAGAAAGGCTAATTATCATACATAAAAAGGAATATATTAATAGGGCGCCATTATGAAAGAGGTCTATGAGACTAAATAGAATAAGCTCTTGAAATCACTCATTTTGGTGTTCATTGCTCTGCAATAACTAGAAACCTACCTAAAATTAGATATCCCGATTATTGTAGCGTTTAAGTGGCCCAAAAAAGCACGGTGCAAGAGATTTGCAGCAAAACTTTGATGTGTTCTTATTCCGGAATTAGATCAATCAAAAGCACCCTTGGTAGCACAGCGGACAAATGACGTCAGAGTGACTTATCCCTTACTTATTCATCAGTGCGTATCTCCACTGATTGAAATTTATGTATTATGGAAATATATACATATATCAGCCATGTAACATGTATACTCAATATACCTATGTGGCTTGCATTTTATTGCAGATAACGAGGTATAATTGAATGCTGTTATATTCTGTAGACCAAGTTCCTGGCATGTGTTTTCTGCGAAGGAAAAAACTTCCTCTCAGTATATGAACAATTACACTTGGGATTTGAATCCTCGGCATGTTAGACAAACATACATACATTCCAGTGCCGGATGCAGACCCTGAGATAAGGGGGGAGGGGGGGCCTGGTCATCCAGACCCTTAGATAAGGGGTGGGGGGTCTCCAAAAAAATTCTTTTCGGCCCTTCGGGCTTCAGTTTGGTCTAAAAATAAGGGGGGGGAGGGTTAGGACCCCCCGGCCCCTCCCCTGGATCCGCCACTGCATGCTGAAAATTGAAAATTGAAAAATTAGATGTTGAACAGCAATTGTTGTACTACATTACGATATCATCGGCAGATATTACAATGTTATCCTTATCTATTCAACAGGTAACACCAGTTAATCCATACGCGGAGACCGAGTGGCAGCTAATTATAATGGGAAGGAAATAGTTACGGGGAAAAGAAGAACAACAGGGCAAAGGGCCGGGGGAAAGTGTGAGCACTAACTCTCACCGACGCGCTTCCAAAACCTTTCGAATACGCTTAACTTTTTCTGATTGGCCAGTCGTACATACATAGAATGACGCAGAAAGTCTCATGATCAAAGCAGCCGCAGGGTAGGATGTAACCTAACAACCTCCTCAGCCAATACCATCGGACGTCGCAGGGGCACCCAACGACCGTTTTCTGGGAAATGATCTGAAATGGCTCGTTATGCATCCTGGACTGCTTTAAAAGCAATATAAATGAATAATTCGCATCGCTAAAAAAATTTGATCTGTTCGGTCGTCCTAGGAGTGGTTTGAACCTCTCGAATTTTTTAGGGCTGTTTTTCGCCTTTCCCGAAAATAACAGCCTACAGTGAAAGCTTTCCGAAAACGTAAGATTACCTGACGAGCTTTTCCCTTGACCGAAATTTTTAGGGGTCCTTTCAAGTTTTCTCCGAAAACTTTATCTAGTGTGAGAATGTCTTCGAATTTTCTAGGGCGACGTAGAATGTATAGAAAATTCTAGGTGTAATAATAATAATAATAATAATAATAATAATAGTAAATTAAGAACAAAAATAAGAACAAAAGAAAAGAAATTTAAGTGATTTTAAAGCCACTTTCAGACGTCTTGTACCCTGCCGAACTCAATTCGCACGGCACTTACGGAAAAATCTGAAAAATCTGAAATACGGCATGGCACTGACTGATACAACGCACATTGAACGCAGTCAGCTAAGGCAGAATCAGAATCTAGAAATTACTAAGAAAGCTACGAAATTTCTAGGTGCCGAAATCGGAATCTAGAGATTACAACAAAATCCGAAATTCTTAGGTGAACAAACCACACGAATCACGAAATTCTGAGCCCAACAAACAGTCACCACGAAACATTTTCGAAAATTTTAGCTGTTCTTGGGCTCTCGAAAATTTTAGCCAATCTAGAGGGCTCCGAACAGATATTTCCCAGAAAACGGTCGTTAGGTGCCCCTGACGTCGCAGTGGTGAGTACACTCGCCTTCCCCCGCCAATGTGGCCCAGGTTCAAATCCCAGCGTCGACGACTATTTCCCTTCCGCAAATGGTCGATGCTACCATTAGTAACAACGCCTTAAGTCATAGACAAATAATACATCTTCGAATGCTCTTAGAAAGAACGACGTTGAAGCCTAAGAATTTACGTGAAAAGTTATGGCCAAGGGCTAGGGTCACCTGTTAACAGGTCAAAAATTCTCCAGGTGTCTTAAAAATGGCAGTGACCGTTCACGAAAGGGACACTGCGGCGTCGACGCCATATGTGGGTTGAGTTTGGTGTTGGCTCTCTCCTTTGCTCCAAGAAGTTATCCTAACTCCGTGTTCTCGGTTTTCCCCTCTCGTCAAATCCCAACATTTAAAATTCCAATTTGACCAAGAATCAGGTAGACGAAGAACCACTAAATATAAGTGGATCTGCTACCTTTAAATCGTTATTTGTTTACTCATTCCTTTATTTACCTAAAAAGCATTCAAATTACCAATTTTGAACAGGAGCAAATAACCCGAAGGGAGCAACTTTTATGTTCTCGTGACAAGGCGTTTCGAGCTGTTTCAGCGCAAAGTCCCACAAACCAGTCACTAAAACCTATATACATTCCTCAAAATGACATTTTGATTTATTGTTTGTGACCTAAAAGGTATTAAAATACCAGGAGCCGATTACTTCGGTTCCTGAAAATACTGTTTTTTTCGGCTGCTATTCTGATACCTTCG